TTTGTTATGTCCTTATTAGATTGAGAAAGGAAACGAATGCGTAAAGTTCAATTCTCCATGCTTGGAGAAGAAAGAGATTGTTGCCCATTTTGTGGGGGAATACAGTAGTGGGACCAAATGGCTTCCTTTCTGCTGGCAGTTCGATCTGCTTTGCCATTCATGATCTTTATTTCGTACACTGGTGAGAGTGCTGAATGATTTCTGTTTCATAGAAGTTTTTTCTATCCTCTTTCCATAGACAGTTTGGGGGCTTTAGAAGAGCTCGGGTATATCGACAACAGCAAATGTTTGCAATTCTGTTTACTAGGATGGACAAGTGAGATACGAAGGGGTCACATATCAGGGAGATTGGCAAGACAACGCTTTAGGCGCTTGAATCAAGCCCATTCGCTCCTTGTTTAGTGGTCAGCTCAGTTTCGAGAGTACAGATGTACTTTTGTTCTACGTTTCTATAATTCTTTTCTTGAAAACATATCGTACCAATGTCTTTAAGAAAGATCTATTTTAATACTTTACTAACTGGTTTCAGAGCTTTACACATTGGTTTAAGGAAAAAGGAAACCTAAAATGACTTGATTACATGTAAATCTGTATAAAATAAGCACTGGGTTTTTCTTAAAAAGGGATGTTAAGTATTTCAATCGTGAAATTTCCCTTTGAGAGTTTAAGCTCCATTTTTATTTGTACGTGTAATTCAATCCTGTAACAATTAGCCCCCTGACTTCAAGAAGCATGCAATTGCTCTCGTCCCGCTTGTGTTAATGAAGCTGACAGGTTTGCTTGTTCGGGATGCGATATCTTCCCGTTTTCTCGCTGAGAGGCTGTTCTTGAAGACGGTTTTAAACACAAACGATAAGACTAACAATAAGCTCCAGGTTAAAATACGAAAAATGTGTTTCACATTACAAATTATGACGTTAGTAAGTGATTAGTTTCCCGTGTGGCTGAAGAACCACGCCGACGGAATGTCTCTGCTTTCCTCCCGATCGTGATGCCCTGGAGGATCAAAGCAGAGATCGGCTGGAGAAATG